AATGTAGGAATTTGGGGATGTAGAAATTTGGGGGATTTGAAATTTGAGAGTTTGAGAATTTGGGGGTTTGAGAATTTGGGGATTTGAGAATTTGGGTGTAGGAATTTGGGAATGTAGAAATTTGGGGGGTTGGGAAATTGGAAATGTAGGAATTTGGGAATGTAGAAATTTGGGGGGTTGGGAAATTGGAAATGTAGAAATTTGGGGATGTAGAAATTTGGGGAATTTGAAATTTGAGGGTTTGAGAATTTGGGGGGTTGAGAATTTGGGGATTCGAGAATTTGGGGGGTTGAGAATTTAGGAATGTAGAAATTTGGGGAGTTGGGAAATTGGAAATGTAGGAATTTGGGGATGTAGAAATTTGGGGTTGAGCGTAATATCAAAAAATAGTAATATCATATAACTACCAATTATCAATTACCAATTGTTACAAAGTATTAACAGTGATCATAAATACCTTTATCTACTATTAATCACTCATTCTACCCACCTTGATAAATTATATCAGTGTTACGTAATCACACTACATTAAGTACCATAAAATTATTACAACCACTAAACTCAAATTTCATAATAAATATTACTTAACAAACATCAATCACCATTTTAAGTACTCACCATTTCAATACCATTTTAAGTACTCACAAAAAGTACCTAAAAAATGAATTACAAAGAGACTGACACACAATATTACATAAGTGATGAAAGAATTAAAAATCAATCTACTAATTGTTAGTTATCGTTATTGTTGTAACTATTGTGCGCACAAAAAAGTTTTAATTAATAATTACGTGTAGGTAGGTACTCGAAAGGAAGATAACTTTGCAATAATGTTACAACGATAAATTGATCGATAAGTCGCGATTGATAGAGAAGCGGGAACGAGAAAAAATATAGGAAGCTAGGAAGAAATAATTGATTGCGGTATCTTACAGGTGGGATGATTTTCTGATATCTCGGACCAATCGCCGTGATCTAACTTACTGTTTCTATGCTACGTTCAGATTCTAACAGATACGTGTACGTGTATGTACTTCCAGTAATTACTATCTCTGTCGTTTACATTTCGTAATAATTGATAATTACTTCTTCTATAGATTATCAAATTTGTACAATTTTTATATTTTGACTCTCTAAGTTTGCGATTTTATAATTTTATTTTGGAATTTTCAATTTTATGTGGGTGCAAAATTTAGGGACTTTTCAATTTAAAAATTTATTAAGTTTTCCAATTTCCATATTTTTCTATTTCCATATTTTCCAATTTCCAAATCTTTCAATTTCCAGATCTTCCAATTTCTAAGTCTTCCAATTTCCAAATCTTTCAATTTCTAAGTCTTCCAATTTCCAAATCTTTCAATTTCCAAACCTTCCAATTCCCAAATTTTTCAATTTCCACATTTTCCAATTTCCAAACCTTCCAATTTCCAAATCTTCCAATTCCCAAATTTTCCAATTTCCACATTTTCCTATTTCCGTATTTTCTAATTTCCAAATTCTCCAATTTCCAAATCTTTCAATTTCTAAATCTTCCAATTTCCAAATGTTCCAATTCCCAAATTTTCCAATTTCCACATTTTTCTATTTCCATATTTTCTAATTTCCAAATGTTCCAATTTCCAAGTCATTCATTTCCGAAATCTTCTAATTTCG